CTAAGTGAAATTACCAGAATGAATCGCCTCCTTGTTTATAGAAGGCACCTTCTTTAAAGACTTTGTTGTCACACTACGAAATCGTACATATCTTGTTAATGTGACTGCAAAACCAGCGCTCGAAATGTCGTCCTTACCATTATGGACAAGGAGAATCTACTACTTTTAGGGGATTAGTAATAGCCTTTGATTTTCTATGAAGATTCATCAGAAGAATTGAAGTGTCATCTCTCTGTATAAATGAGAATGCAATAGACACTACTACAAGTGCTTAGGTTTACCAATCAATGCTGGATAAATGATGTCTTTCGTCTATTTTTCTTGGTTGTTCAAGAATTATCACTTGAATTCCTGATATCTATTGTTCTCTTTTGCTGTCGTGTTTTTTGCCTCTTGTTACCATAGTTCAAATGGATCGAAATGTCAAATTCAGTGATAAATCTAATAAATAACAATGATTGGACTGTGAATTTAAGAACATTCGTTTGTTCATTTTATCGGATTGTCATATTCTTGAATAATTTTACGACCCATTACACTCATTATAAACCCTTGATCTAAGTATCCTTTATGTTAATAAAAGCTAAAATCTAAGGCTTTTGGCAGCTATTATTTAATTGTCATCTGTCGAGCGCTCTAAAACACGTTTTAGATCTGTAAAATCACGATAAAGTTATCAGAATATTTTCCCTGTTGTATTCACAACTAATTTGGGAATATTTGGACTACAATCAGAAATCAAATTTCTTGATAAGTGAAACCAAATGCGTCTGGCTGTGCGATCACATTAATTAGTTACAATGATGTGATGCCAACCACTTCTAGCTCAGTTACTTAGATCTGTACTCAGTCCTGTGATGAAAAGTGGTAAAATATAGAGGGTCAACACTTTTACCATGAATAATGGACGATAAAGGTTAGTTTTATTATCTACGAGTCCATGAAGAGTCAGAAACTGAATTTAGGAGCTGACGTTGCAGCGGTGATTACGGGATGTAACCATAGTCCTACCGTATACATTTTGGCAGATAGAAATCCAAAATTTTAAGACTTGTGTTTGGATTAGCTGAATGCTTTGGTCACACAAAAATCGTTGGTTGAGAGACGACAGACTATGCATGAAGTTGGAGTGATTTGAGAAATTTCATAACAGCATTATATTTCGAGGTGAAAAATGTGGATTAGAAGCTACGGTTATATTAAATTCCGACGGGTGCTACCGCGAATCTCATTAGTCCGTCCATGAATTATGGTATCAACAATTTTTTCACCTGAATTCGACTCTCAATAATTTTCGTTATGACGAGAGGGATATGGTAAATGTCAGACCTGGATTATTTCGTTTTATCATCTGGTCTGGTTCTTTGGCCTAATCACTGGGTAACTTGATTCTATCGGTAAATATATCCTAAAAACAATTAGTTTCGGAAGTTCTCAACATTGATGTTGACCTCATTATTTTTTCTGGACACGCTTCAACTGAAGGCGCTCGGTCACACATTCTTGCCAGATCATGAGCAGATGCGCGAGATAATTGGAAGTATTGTAATCGTTTTACTAACTAGGAATTCACGAAGTCGTGCGATTCACAGTAAGGAGAACTAGATGACCAGAAACAGAAGTACTGTATTCGGAATTCGAAGTCAGCGAGCATTCAAGTACAAGAGGAACATTAGTTCGTACAAATGCCACGTCCACCACAGCTTAAATGAAAATCCAAATTTGTTCAATCCATCGTGTTTCTACTTAGGTTCATCGTTTTTCTGTTCGACATGTATTGGATGTGAACAGTGTATGATAACTAATTAAAGTAGCGGAATTTTTTGCGTCCTTGCGAGTCATTTTGTGAAGTTTTGCTCCCTTATGGTGTCCAAAATTAGTACACTTCACACTATTTAGTTGTAGTTCTTCGAGATATGCGTAGGGAAGTGAAGTAGGCGTGTCTGATATTGCCAAAGTTCTCAGTAAGCTGTAGACACCTTTTTCGATGAGTGCAAAGAAATAAGTCAAAATTTTGTCATTCTTAACATCGTCCCAGATTTCAAACTTTTCTATGTAATCTTTGAAAGCCTCAGGATATGAATGTTTATCCAGCTGTTCAATCATAGGCTACGATGCGACGACAATATGATGATTATATATTTATATATTATATTTGGCTTTCGAACTCGGTGGGAGTCAACTACAAAATAATCATCAGTTCGTAGAAATACCTTAGTATGCCCTGTTACACATCCCTTGCAGCTACTGGCCAGCTTAGACCGAACGCTTCTCCGCAAATATTTTTTCAAATTCATTCACATTTGTCTTCTGCATTGACTGGTGGGGTATTCTTCGATTATAAAGGCGTTATGGAGAAAAGTGTCTTGAAATAATGAATATTTGTGACATCTTCCAGACTATTATGTTTATATATTCGCTTTATAATAAGTTTTGATGGACTCATTAACTTCTTCCGTACGTTTTCTTATTCTTAATCAATTCTCAGGCTTAGAGTCAATCTTTGGCTCGTTCATGTTGAACTGTTCCTCTCCATTTTCTGGCGTGAGTTAGTTGGATACCCCTGTACATAAACTATATCTGCTTGAAATATTATATTGTAGTATCAGTTTATATGTTAAGCGCATATACTTTATTCTAGTTGCTGGCCAAGCCAATTCGCCTATCCGTTATGAGTCATATTTTGATTATTCGGATCATAACGGAATATGTCGTCGGCGTAAATCTGATCCTGTCTATACTCGTATATAATAAATGACTTTATTCCGCGTTGGTGAATAACGGAGTTAAATAAGTCAAATACGAGAATGGATTTAGAATACATATAATTTCTACACTCATTGGTCTGGCCAGGGAATCAGAGTGATGAGGCGAATAGATGAGAGCGGAACGAAGCAAAGATCATGCATGTTGGAGATGGCTGGGAAGCCAACTCGAGAGCGAGGCGAAAGATGATGCGTATTGGAGATGGCTGGGAAGCCAACTCGATATCAGCAAGCATTACTCAATATTTATAATCAGGCAAAAGTGAATGACAGACATATGATGAATAAGATACGAAGTGTACACATATATGCTCATATAAAAGTATAGTCAAGGTTAATAAGCGAATAATTAACAAGGTCAAAATATGACTCATAATGGATAGGCGAATTGGCTTGGCCAGCAACTAGAATAAAGTATATGGGCTTAACATATAAACTGATACTACAATATTTGCTAAGGCTGACTACAGACTTCTGGACTCGTAAGCAGGGCAGAAAGAGAAGCTAGCCGTTCATTGGTAAGTATTTAGAGCTCAAATCAAGGTTACTAGTGCTGGTTGAACGTGAAATTAACCAATTCAGAAATATAGAGTTGTTGGAATCGGATATCTGACTGATTGTTTTGTAAGAGGTCACATTAAGTACCCTTAACTTTAGCTGTTCACGTTCAGCCCAAAGGTACTTTGTTTAGTTGTGGAGCTTTCGGATATGAATGAGTCAGGAGAGCTGGGGAGGAGAATAAAATAAAATTAGTTGACGACGAAGTAAGCCCAAACAGTGTACTTACAATTTTAAGGTAGTGCAATGAACAACAGTGATAACACAGATTAATCGACATTAGAAGTGGAAAGAATGAATTTTTTGAACCGCTATATATTCACTACAATATCCACCAGGCACTGGTGTAAATACATGTGGTTTTCTGGAAGTTGTATCCATAGCTTAGTCTTAATCAACTATTTTATGAGAAGCTTTTAAACGTTTGATGATGTTCGTTATTCGTTTCATTGGATTTCTATTCCTAATACATTATAAGTTGCAAAAATGTAGCTCACTAGATTACAGTGGCAAGGATGTTAGGTTCAAATTATTGAAATCTAGGCTTGTTGAGATATGCATATCTAATAAAACAAGATGAATTTCTCAGCTAAATAACGATTTTACGAACGCGTTAGACTACAAATATCATTCGCCACAAGCAAATACTTAACATAAGTCGCCGAGATTCTAATAGTAATAAGGTTACCTAGAGTCCACATATAGAACAGCTGACTCTAAGGCAAGAGAGAATCCAAAGGTTCAAGTTCAGAGAGATAAATACATCATTGGCAAAAGCATTAAATCAAGTATGTAGTAATTCACTTAAACGAAGCAAATTTCACAACAGAGTTGCTTTAATTTGCGTGGTTCAAACTTACTTTACTGAACTAAAAGCAGATTTGTCAACTACAGTTGCACCGAAATAGGAAACTCAAACTCATAATTTATATGGAGATGCCTAAACCGAAAATGAGTTCATCCAAGTGAAATCAACGGAAGGCCACTCTGTTGTGACATTACGGTTGACATTACTGATGGGAAGGTCTTTCCCGATGACTTCAAAACGTATCACGTTTTTATTCGGCCTAATAAGTACCTTCACGACAGTAAGAAAATACACTTTGCGTCAAACAATCAACAAAATTACTAAGCAGAGATCCAGTTGGATTCAACAACTTTCTTGCAGACGCTGCATAACTCCACATCCTTGAGAAATCGCAATGACAGATTCAAACGCAATTAACTTGAATAAAATACAGTTTACAAAAAAATAATGAATTATTTTATTCTACTGAACAACTGAAAACCTTATAGGAGGATTTTTGTTTAACTGTGCTACAGAACGTTTATTGTCATAGATGTTTATGTCGTAGGTTGAAAATGACTTGAATCATTAATCGAGAATTTAATGCAGATTATATTTAATTTCAAATGTCAGATTCATTTACTTCACCATATTATTGCTGTTTTGAGGTAACTTCCTCAGTAACTTGTGGTATGTCCGATGTGCTTACTGAATAATCGGCATAGATTTGGTTCTTTCTCTTGTACAGGATTTCTCACTGACACTTTTTTCTCGCTTCCTAAGCTTGGTTTGTACTTCAGATTCCACATATTAGTATTCAACTCGTCGTTTATCCGCCAAACCAATATCAGTCAACTGATCGATCTAATTATTACAATTAACTCCTTGAAATGGCAGAACTTAGTTACTGTATGATGAGATCAGCAAATCAGGCGAGAGAATCAGTAAGGTCTTTTTGTACTGTTAATGAAAACAAAGGAAGAGCAACGGTCCACAGCTAGGAAGAAAAATTTGTTGATATTAGTGATGCATTATTTAAGTGAAGAAGGGTAACTTTCTAGTTTAATTATATTTTCAAAGGTATGTTGAATCAGCGATGTCTCTCTCGAAAGAAACAAATTTAGACTTCAGAAAGTATGAAGTGTGCGATAATGTAGATTTAGAAACAGTTTTGTTAGAATATGAAAGTTATTACTACATAAAATTTCAGAAATATCCTAGAATCACCAAAAAGTTGTCAGGTTTCTTACATTGCTTATATAATCAATATCATTTCAGATAAGCTCTTTCAGTGTGACAAAAAGCGACATGTAAGCAGTTCAATAAAAACAAAGTACGTTCTTAGTTTGCTCTACATTAGTTTATGTAGACGATCCTCACTTCCTCGGCTTTTTAACCGAGGGAATTCTATCCATGACTTTGAACAGAATTATTCATCAATTATTCTGAATTCTGAAGAAAGTTCTGGCGTAACCAAGGTGAGGGGGTAAATAGTTTTTTATCTTTTGGCTTTTAATACTTTTATTGATGCAATCTTTTATATGAAAACACTAAACAAATCTACCTGTCCTAACGTTTGTTTATTACACTTTCTTGAGGCATAAATATAAACTCCTTCTGTAACTGATTCAAACGTCTTGTCACTTTTTTACATGCACATTCTCGCACAAGTTTATTTAATACTCCTTGTTTTAGTTACATTGTAATTTTCGTGTTGATCAATAATTAAGAACAGTTGCTCAAACATGAGACAGTCTATCCTGCTGATATTCTTCCATATTCAGACATTATTCTGCTTCATATGTTCGGGAAATATATCAAGCTTAGCCGTTGTGAGGAATCCCCATTCAATGGATCACACTACTTCTTATCATGTCAGTATTGTAATGTTTGGTGATCTAGTCAGTAAGATCCAAACAAAAACAAAATTAGTGTTAGGTATGTAGAAGAAAAGGCATGCTGAAAGATGTGTGGACCAATAATGTAAATGATCTGTGTCAAATGATTAGTGGCCTACTCGAGTTAGACGGCAATCGTGTGACCAACCAGCTAACGTTACACCTCGAGGTCATTACATAACATGGGTTGTTCTTTTGCCGTATTCAAATAATATGGCTACTTTGATGTCCGCACATCACAGATGACGTTATTACAGAAATATATTGGTATGAGTAGGTACAAGGAACAGAGTACAACCACCGCTGCACGGGATAGTCCATGACGTGCGATTAACTGATGCAGATTGGACGTTGTTAACCTTGACGAGGGTCGGCAAACTGTTTGATATTCAGTGATCGGATTGACAGATGATTTGACTAGTGTCCGGTAACATTTCACAGGATCTACAGATGCTTTTAAAGTAAACATTGTGCCCCAACAACTCAAAATTTTCAGTAGTTTACTTTTCTAGGTAGAAAATGTCCGGATACTATAAGTATTTCCCGAAGGTAGAAACCATATTATTAATGTGTATTTCACGCATTAGTTTTATTTTACATCTTTAAAGTTATATATTACTTTTTTTCTACATAAACATTTGTCTGTACAGAATAGAGCTTGTAATGGACTAACTGTACAAGGAAGACAAGATCCCCTTATACAAACTTCAGGGCGCATAGTAAAGAGTAACATTCCACCAAATGTTTCAAATGGTTCTTCTATCACACCTTCAAACCATCTGGATTCAGCTCAAAACTCTTTTCTATCCTCTTCAACACGACAGAATTTTCCGCGTCAAATTACTGACTACAGAGCAATCATTAATCAGGAAACCCGCTTGCCTTTAGAAGAAAACCAACTTTCGGAAGATCCTCAAGTATGCATTCAGACTATAATCAAATACATAATAGTGACATTTAGAGACGACGTGTCATATGTTGTCATTTGATAGATGTCATCTAAGCTTTAACCATTTTCGAGGTTTGATATTTTAACCTTGTCAAAATAGGTCATCTTATTTGAAGCTCATGTCTGAATAAAAACGTCCATTAGACACAGTTCTTGCGTTTAAATGATGCATACATTTTTCAAACACTCAAGATGTATAACATACTCGTGCAATCGAAAATAATACCATTAAAATATATGAGCTGTCTTGGAGCCTTTAAAACAGAAAGTCATTATCTACTACGGTATTTTATTAAAAAGTCAGGCACTTGAGTATTTAACGCTAGCTGCCTTTTGCACATTTTTTAGATGATAAGATGTCCATCAAATGCTTCTAAACAAAATCTTTCGAAAGGAAGTTGACATAACACGGAATTCTCATAGAATAACCACTGATTGCTTATATTCGGTTAGAAAGTGACAGAATATAATTTATTTTGCTCAATCTCTCCACAGCTAGGGGTACCCTTATTTATTAGACGGACATTATTTTGTCATTTGGTCTCATAAGCTACGTTTTGTATATAAGCCAGGAGCGTATCATCTAAATTCAATGACCCATCGTTTGTTAGTGTGATCACTTTACCATTTATAAATGCAATAGCATTCATGCTAAAAAAATTAACGAAAACAAGAAGCAATTTTATTCCTTTGTTTATAAAGTGTAATCAAGTCAGCTCTACGTCGTAAGATAGAATTCTTACTGAAAAACAGAATTAAAAGGACCTTTGAAAGTATTGTTAATAATGAGTGTTATTTAATGAAACATAAACTGTAATTTTTATCCTATAGGCATGGATAATATTGGCAGTTTTCAACTTCCATCACATATTAAGGCAATCTTAAGCAAACTGTATCATACGTGGCCATATCAGTTGTAAAATAATGTTTAATGGACTCAATTAAACACTGCTGGATAACATTGTTACTCACTAGTGAAAACTAAACGAAAAAACATACTGTTTTGTTCGTTTTACAATGCTGTTCGAAAAATAAATACAATATTTCATATTCCATATCCAACTACGATTTTAAATGTTGTGGTGCACCTTTAGAACGTAGAAAAACATTCAAGATGTTGTAATTCGTATACGTTGGTTTTTTGGATCTTCTCCTTAATGTTTAAGACTGAAATCGATCAACATCTTTTGAACTATGTGCATCTTGCGCGGATCGCCTCAATACTGTCAGTAGGTCACTAGAATTTTAATCAGATATGGATTATAGCTAGCAGCGGAGTTCAGGAGGCGCGTTTCATCCTACTTGGGACTCATTAGCGGGACGTGATTACCTTTCATAGTTGATGTTCACTTCGGGACTCGATCCCATAACATTTCGCTTTAAATGCCGTCACATTATTCGCTTAGCTACTGAATCCAGATAGCCATTGACTCGACCATTGGGGTGAATTTCAGTTTTTAAAATCATTCCACTACGAGCCATTATTGATGCATGATGCCATTATTATCCACAAATGAAAACGTTTGGGAGTAACAGTAAATATAATATCTGTGGGTAAGTCAGAGACTATCGTAACTCGTTGACTTAGTGAATAACCCTTTTAAGTGTAAAATAATAGATGATAATCATTTTGGTTATACCGTAAACATCAACACTAAAATGCAGGTGAATTAGCTCTTGAGTTCAGCAAAGGATAAGACACAAATCCTAAAATTAACTGCTACCTATTAATACACGGATAAAATATAATCAGAATAACCACTATTTTTACAAGACAAGTAATAATTTAGCCTATCCCCAAATCGAAAAGTTAATAAATTCGTGAATTTTTTGTTTTTTTGAAATAAATATTTTGCAGGAGCGTTTACTAAAGCCTCTAGGTAGTTATTTGGGCTACACAGGAGAATGGCGAAGTTTGGCTTTGACAATATCACGTGTAAGTCTCACTTTCTATCATATGTTTTTCTTAATTATATCTTATGTTTAGACTCCAAAAATTAAATAATTTTCTTAAATCGATACTTTATTCGAATTACTAAGATTTTATGGGTAACGGATAATGTTTCTTTGTTTTTTTTTCAAAGTTGAAATCATGAGTCAGTTGAAGCTAGACCACCATGGAAAACCTTGAAGCACCGAACTGCCGTTTCGTCCTATTATGGGACTCCCCAGCAGTGCGCATCCACGATCCCGCACTCGCGAGATTCGAACCCAGGACCTACCAGTCTCGAGCCAAAGCCCTTAACCGATAGATTGGTGCGCGATCGTGGATGTGCACCGTTGAGGAGTCCCACAATAGGACGGAACGGCGGTCAAGTGCTTCAAGGTTTTCCATGGTGGTCTAGCTTCGATTGACTCATGATTTAAACTTTGAAAAATACTGAAATTTCCACAAATCCCCTTCTGAATGTTTCTTTGATTTGAAAGTAATTGTGATGTTTTGAAATAGAAGATCCTGATAAGTCTTTTTGATTTGTGTGTAGGTGACGAACTGATAATATAAACATATTTATGATTAGCTAAATAATTTTGCAAATATTGTTTACTTAGTAAATGGATGAATTTTTATGTAGTGGTGTTTTCACATGACTAAGTCATATTTCCTTAGACTGCACATTTATACTACAAAATGATTATGATTGTTGAGTGATATTAGAAACAAAGTGTGATTAATTAACCAACAGGATTACTAATGTAGGTCATTTGAAACAGTTTCTGTCCATGTTTTGCAATTCAGATAATTGCCTTTCCGGAATCGCAATTACACATATAGGTTTGAAACGTATCACCGTTATCTTTAAGCGAAGATAAAGTACTAACTACTGAAAAGAAAGACTATGATTATAGTGTATCATCAGCTCCATGCCACTTCACTTGAATAATTAAAAATTCAAAGGTATGCGGTTACATGATATAAATCATTTGATTTGAAGACAGCCACATCCATGAATTGTTCACATTCAACTTCTTAACATCTTATTGCAATGCCCATATCTTTGCATTCTTTTGACTGTCATTTGTCATGTTTCTGTATATTTAACTGTTAACTGAAGTGATTTGTTTGTTTAAAACAGTAGTACACTAAGAATCCTCATGGTTTTTATCACAGTGTGTTTTAACTAACATTTTAGGATATATTCCTTCAAAATCCAAATGTTCGATGGGATGATATAATCGGTCTAAGCTCTGCTAAACGTCTTGTAAAAGAAGCAGTTGTTTACCCAATAAAGGTAAGCTCATTTGAATCAGTCATCAAGCATTTTACACTTTTCTGGCTTACCAATTAAAAAGTGCTAACTTCAACTAGAAAATTTGAACCCATCTTCATCTACGTTAGTTTGGGGAGTCTTATATCAGCGTTACTGTGAACAACATACCAACTTACTAACGTTAACCTTCGTAGAGCTTTGGTCACCAACCAGCTTTCTCCAAGAAACTCTGTCCTGGGCTCTCCTCACGAGTTTTTTTTTCGGAAGATGCTTTGATGATTGTTGATCCATGAGATTCCCATCATATGAGTGCTTTATGTGCTTCTTTGAATAGCATCGCAGCAACTACCTAAGTGTGCATAGCGTCTTCCTCTTCATAATTAGAGTTCAACAGTATCTCATTCGAGGCCAATCGTTTTCGTCCAGCTTGGATCCAATGAGTTTGACGGATTCTGAGCACCGTTAAGTTATATCTCCTCATTTCCGCAGCTATTTGACTGGTCGACCTCTCCTTACAAGATTTTCCAATTGCTACTCGTTCTTTTGATATCTACCCACAAATCTCAACTCAGTATATTGTTTAGTATTTCTCTTTTCTTTTGCATTCAGGATTTCAGGTTAGAGTTTTCCTGGTGTTGCAGTTTGATGATTTCCATAGTGTATGTCCTATCCACTTCCAACGTTTTTCCTAATTTCGGATTCAGCTGAGAACTGTTTTTTTCTCTTCTACTGCTGACTATTGCTGACGGTATTCGGGAAATGGACATTGAGTATCCTGTGTAGATGACTGTCCAGAAATAATTGTAAATTTTTGACCACGCTTGGAGTAGTTCTCGAAGTTTCAGCTTCGTTTACTACAACTGTCTTGACGATCGTATTGAAAATCATGACTTCAATGTTGGTTGACAGTTGTTTTGAGTTCCATATGTTCTTCAATTGTAGAAATGCTGTCCTTGTTTTGTCAATCCCCGCCTTTATGTCTACATCAGATCCTCCTTGTTCATCGATGATGCTTCCCAGGTACGTGAACGTTTCCGCTTCTTCTAGAGCTTCTCCACCAAGTGAAATTGGTTTGGTGTTCTCTGTGATACATTTGAGGTTGTTACTTTTTCTTTTGTGTGTGTTCAGACCTACTGAAGCTGAGGCTCCTGCTGCACTGACTGTATTGACCTGCATTTGTTGATATGTATGGGATAGAAGAGTTAGGTCATATGAGAAGTCCAAATCATCTTGTATGGTCAGTGAAATGTCACTGAGCTCTTCTACGTATTTCTGCTTGTCAGCTCTAAAGCTCTTCTTCACTTGCTTGTATGCTTCTGTGTATTCAGTTCTTGCCATGAATTTCTCCACTCTTGTTCGGCTGTTGTTAATTGCCATGTTCTGTGCTCACTTTCTTAAATCTTGTCCAGGGTTTCGACAGAAATCCATTCCTCATGATGACGCTTCTTACGGCCCAGAACCTCCTGATACACTAAAAGCCGTGCTTCTTTGATCCCTTTCCAATTGTTCTCGATAGTAGTTTCTTCTTCTTTCAATAGATCTTGTAAGGCTTGGAACATGTTGTTGAGATCTATCTTGAATTGGTTGAGTTTGCCAGTATGTCGAAGGAATTCTGTCTCGAACCTTTGTAATGTTAATTACTCAGTTTTTCAGTGCTCCTTTAGCTTCATTTTCATCTTGGCAACCACCAAGTAGTGATAAGAGAATATATAGGCTCCTCTATTGATTCTCATATGTTAGGAGAGGCATCTGTCTCGTGGCTTCCGAAGAATTTTGGCTTTCACCACAGGATGATATAATTGTTCTAAATGAAGATCTTTAATCTCCCATGGTAGAGTTTAAATGTTTTTTCCTGGTAAGCGTTTTTAACAAAGTTGTTTTCTATGAGATGGAGCTACTGACCCCGTGTTCAATCACCCTCTTTTATCCGTGTTTGGGACAGGAGGCGAGTTCCAGAAAGCTGGTTTCACACTATATGAGAGCCGTCATTCGATGAACGTTGAGTGAGTGTCAACTTCGGAATGTAGGTACGTCCAGGTGATGATTGGCAAATAGGACAAAACAGTTAGTCTGGATCACGTTGCTCGGCTTATTCTATTCATTCTATATTATCTCTCATATCTAATCATATCGTTTGTATAAAAAGTACTACTAATCAGAGTGTTGTACCAGATTCTTTTCCTGAGATAAATGCAAGCAAAAATAATAATATCTTATTGTGAAGGGACAATCTAAACGTATTCACCCAATAATTTAAAGCTCCTGAAGTTTGTGAGTCTTTTTTCAAGAGTAATGGCGAGGAGACTTATTCATTATATTTTTTCTAAGATGAACCCAGTGATTGTTGCGCAAGTAAATAGCATTAAGTGAACTGAAATAGTGAATAGTTAGAAAACTGATCAAATAAAATTTTACATTATAGCTGACAGATGTTTTATTTATGAAATTGAAAACGTCAATATAACACTTTGCTAGCCAATATTTACGTTTGTTGAGATTGAAGAGTTAGCTATACACTGATAATATCTATAAAGTTATAGGTTATGAATATAAGTTACTGAGAAAGAAAACTTTGCTTTTTAGTAGTGTAGTGGTTCACGTTTATCTTGAAAGCACTTTTATTCTGGCGGAGAGTACAGAGCAGTATGAGTAGGAAGATCTAGAAAAAAATTGCAGGAGATTTAGTAAGTGGACGATTCAGTAAACAGATGGAATGCATTTACAATGAACAATTATGGTGGTCGGTAATAATCAGCATTGGAGCATGCTTAAGAAAATTCGACGATGACAACAGGAAGCGATAGTGTAAGGTTTTAAGTGCGTTACATTGAAAAGAATAGTGCCAATTCTATGACATTATTAGTGTGGTGTGAAGTTCATTATTATTTGTACAGGTCGGTACTGATTTGTCATTGGAATTCAGAATTGATTAGCCATTTTTGGTATATGGGCTTCTTGACAGGATGTGTTGATATTGTTTGCAAATACAAGTTGGTTATATTTTGAACATTAACGAACAGTTCAACATAGGACTGGTTCTTCACTTTACTTTTCGGCTTGGCCGCTAAATATACTTACATTTCGATTTTGACACCAACAGTCTTTAAATGTTTACTGTCATCAGTTAACAATTTTTGTTTATTTTATCATTACAGTACCCTCAATTGTTTGCAGGAATATTATCACCCTGGAAAGGATTATTACTATATGGACCTCCAGGTAATTCACATAAACCGTGCACGATTTCAGTAACTACTAGCAACATAAAGTTACATCAAAATGTATTCTTTATATCATACAATAGAAGTCAATAATAGCTGGGTTTACATTTATTAGATATTCATACCCTATAATTTTGGTCTTTAAAAAGAAATGAAGTGCGATGGGTAGTCCTACTATCGACACCTATCCAATATCATAATATAGTCCAGGAGATGTTGAGTTACTTAGACCAGTGTATATATTGTAATTTGATCAACAGAACTTGATTAGTACTAAGAAATGAATAAACAGAAATCTATTCACTGACCAGTTGTTATTCAGTTTAAATATCTCTTGATATCATTTACGTAACGTCTCATAGTGTTCAGCTGGATGACATGGATTGAAATCAAACTAGGGACAACAGTTCCCCCAAGACTTCCGTACTTGTTGGAGAGCTACAGGTATACATGAAATGTTTCAACTTACATATATCATTGTGCAAAATACTCACAAGATAAAGAGAAAAGTTATCAGTCAAACCATTTAAATGAGAATAAAGTTTATAGCCACTTCGTTTAAATGAATAGTTATCAACGAATCACGATCAGTAAATTGTATGAACAAAAATTACGGTGCAATATACTCAGGGATTGTTTGTATATGACATTTTCTAAATATTGACGGAATCTCGTCTGCTCAATATATTATAGTTAAGATGTTTTTAAAGTGGTCGGTCAAGGGTCGATAAAAAGTTTACATCTATCTCAGATTTGAAAACTGCTTCAGCTACCTTTGATGCAGAATCATACATGAGTCTTGGTAACAGTCCAGTGAAGTTTAAAGATACCAGGCTTAAGGAAGTTACCCACCGAACACAATAGAAGATGTTTGCTCAATATCATGGAATGAATAAAATCAAACATGAACATCATTGAATGCAGGTTCAGGTGTTTAGAGGTTAGACGTATGCGTGCGAGACCAAAAGTCTTGGGTTTGACTCCCATTTGAGAAGTAGTGAGTGCTGACTATTGAAGAGTTCCATACTTGGAATAAAATCATATTCAGTACTCCTAGGTTTACGTTGGTTGTCTAAGTTAGAATGATTCGTGATTTCAATAGAACTCAACAATCTTCACAACTCCATACTGATAGCCATATATACATTTTCGGTAAAATATATCTATACATAAACATTAAGAGACTATTACATGTTATCTTTTTCTATACGTTAAACTAGGCATTGTTTTTTTTTCAATTTAGGCACAGGGAAGACTCTTCTCGCTAAAGCTGTTGCTACTGAATGCAAAACGACATTTTTTAATATTTCTGCATCGACTATTGTTAGTAAATGGAGAGGTGATTCAGAGAAATTAGTTCGTGTAAGTTTCTTCATTGATTTTATTTGTATTATAGTAGTTACATTAAAACTCCCTGTAATCTCAGGTCTCATAAAAAATTCATTTCCTATCTCCTAGTAAAAGCTAAGGTTATGATTTATTTTTAAGATACACAGTTTCACTTACTTGTTTGACTGTAAGATATAGATATTGAAAAGTAAGGGGATTCGTAATGACTGTTCAAGAAAGTTATTTTTCCTCATAACAAACAAAGTATTGAATAACTCTTTCGTCTGGACTTGAAACTAGTAAATAGTGTTGACCCTGCCAGAGAATAAGTGAGAAGTTCTTACTATCGGAGTTCAATAATATCGGGAACAAGACACTGATATCGAATGACCTTAACGGGTATTAATTTAATTATATTTGTATCTATCACCTTTGGTTCTCGTTTACTTAATTAAAGTATATATTTATGAATTATTTCGAATCACAGGTACTGTTTGAATTGGCTAGATTTCATGCTCCTTCAACTATATTCTTGGATGAGTTAGACTCCCTAATGTCACAAAGAGGTTCAATATCTGGATATAGTTCTTCCGGTGGAGGAAACTCAAATATATCACTTGGAAATGAACATGAAGGATCACGTAGAATGAAAACTGAATTGCTAATGCAAATGGATGGTCTAGCAAAATCTGATGATCTAGTCTTTTTATTGGCTGCTTCCAATCTGCCATGGTAAAGTCAAAATAAATATTATGAATATTTGATTCAAAATGTAAATGTATCACGTTAAAATGTTGCGATATTTTTCATATAAGGTTACTTTACTTGTTTTGTACTACTCATAAGTAGCATTTCAGTAATTGTATAATTTTTGAGACTTCGATTATTGGAAGAATGTTGCCTAGCTGTTGATCCTTGCTTATGGATGTACAAGTGAATAGAATATCAAGCTTACATAACATTCAATGATAATTTAAATGTACATGACGATAGAATAATCATTGGGAAAATTAGACATGGAAGTAAATATTTTAAAAGTATGTCACATAGACGAAAATTCACCTGATTAAAATAACCTGTATTTAGTATCTGAAGAAACCCTAAATAGATGCTTGCTCACTAGCGATTCATTCTGAGGGGCGATTTCATGCACTATAGTGAGAAATCATAACAAATGTAATACCACGTTGAGTGTGAGGTAGTTTATGACCAATGATGTCACACAATATCATCGGTTGATTGAAGTTGGAAACGCAAATTACTGAATCACGTTTCAGTGATCTTGAAGATCATCACTTCCTGCAAGACCTGAACCTGATCTCAGGTATGTCCGTATATACACACTTCTGAGGAGTCACGTGCTAGAACAAAATTGCTGTTCAATTTTTTCTCGATTTTCAATGACTGTTTAAGCAAAATGAATCTGTGCTACAAGCTGCAAAATGATATTTTGGAGTTACTTACTTTTTAGATATAACTGCTGATAATATTGGAGTATCAAATGAATAGTTGTTGATATTGTAGATAATTAGCCTTCCCTAATCTAGTCAATGATTTTATCTATCATTCAAATCTGTACCTTAAATGGAAAGATATATCCACGATCCCGCATCGCGAGATTCGAACCCAGGACCTGTCGGTCTCGAGCGCGAGCACTTTGCCACTAGACCACTGAGCCAACATTCAACGGTGTTAATGTCTAAATTCAACTAATCCACGAAATTGAGAGACATATCCACCATTGTTTTCAGTCAGTTACTAAATCACAACAGACCCAATGAACTCCACTGGTCACTGCTTCTCACTAGAACTCCAGGAAATATCTCTTGAAGCTAGTCACTAATGATACATACAAAGTTTCTTATGATTTTAACCCAATTCACTGTATACAATTATATTGACCTTTACAAACATTAATTAACTATATCTCATTGATCTATTTTATTAAAAGAGATATAAATTAAAGTTGTGAATTAAAACTGATTTAAATAAAACATTTTGTATTTAGCATTAATTGTGGATTAACTTTGGTAAAACAACTGGTAGAAACCAACCGGGACTGGATGGTAATTTTTCCAAGTATAAGGTTTTACCAAAGTGCAGTTCCACGATCTTGCTATAAAAGTGGATATAAGGACCTTATAGTTTAACCACGCACTTGAAGTACAATAGTTCAAATCTCTTACTTTAACTAGTTACTGAGAAGCGCCATAAAAAGACACAACACTGGTTTTAAATAGCACTTCAAATGACAACAATTCGTGGATAATACAACATATAAACCAAGCTAGTGTCCCTCAGAAAAGAAAGACGTTTCATTGCTTGTATGAACTAATATCATTCTAAATTATTCGTCACCCCTACTGTTACTTCTGCTTTTACAGGGAATTAGATCATGCAATGCTTCGTCGACTAGAAAAACGGATTCTGGTTGACTTACCAAATAAAGAGGCAAGAATACATATGTTTGAATCATTTCTCCCTCCAATTACTGGACAAGGTACACCAGGTGGATTACAATTAAAATGTTATTTAGATTATAATGAAGCTGCGGAGGTAAGTGTGGCTGTTTTCCTTCATATTTTTTTAACAATCGCAGCTTCACAAATTGATTCATCATTATACTTCAAATGGTGTAGTTGTTCACTCATCTGTTTTGTAGTTAATGTTTCTAAAAATCTCCGTACTTTTCATTATTTGATGCAGTGAACAGCATATAACATCTTTGCAGAATAATATTGATAACTGGTCATTAGATAATAGAAAACCTAGACTAGGGCTTCGTGCTTAATTAAATTATGCTTACTTTATGGATCATATGAATATGTGTATCGAATGTCACTTTGTTGTGATTCCTCAAAGTAATTGTTAGTTTAGTAACTTAGGTTTAAACTAGTTATCAGTTAATCTGAAGGCTTAGCTAATCATGACATTGATGATGGTTGAATGGCGACAAGGAATAATAGTCATCACTTACAAGAACCGAGATGATGTAGTTATATTTTATACTAGTATCAACGAGTCATGAAGTGCAAATTGGATAAAATGGCTTCACTGAGTTCTAGTCCCGTAGTGAACGCCAACTCGGATGCAGGTACATACAGCTGAAAACTATCAAGTAGACGAAACGCTTATCCACTCCATTCCACTGTCAGTCAAATTTTATCAATTCTATTGTAACTAGTATCAGTTGAGGCAATCAGTCGTCATGTTACTCTTAAGAAGTTTGTAACTGTGGTAAATTTTTATCAAAATAACTGACATAGATTGTTTACTGAACATAGGATTCACGTTTCCATTCTCATTTTCTTGAAAAAGGCAAAACCAGCACTGATATTAAATTAAAATTGAACTTTGTGTAACACTAACTTAATTCATTCGCCTGTAAATCTTGTTGACACGTATGCATTAGACAAATTGTTGAACATTTTATCAAAAGTGTACAAGTTCAGTACTATCAATAACTGTATGTTTGGAAAACTTGCTTTTTTTTCAAGACTTAATCATTATATCCAAAAGAATCGAATCGAAACTACTACTTTAATGCCTATTATTGATACAGATCAAATTGATTACTTTCGTAATCCAAAATGTTTTGTTAACTCTGTAATAAATATACATAATCTGAATGATCTGTTCATTGTTTAATTAAGGACTCAGTTAAAGGTATTGTTGCTATTGTCTAGTTACCAGTAATCACCATAACGTTTTAGTTTCTATGAATTGCATGAAGATTGTATGGCGAATTGGGTTTATCAAGATAAAGCACAATTGTCTCTACAAAATGTTTAGTCAAACAATAATCTTCTGTTAGCTAATGAATTCATTTGAGAGAAATTCGCAAAGTCCTAATGTGACTCTGTATTTAGAGTGAAAATGGTATCGTATATTGTAGTTGTTGAAGATGATGATGCTGTATCACTTACTGACTGAATTATTAGATGCCGATTCAGTGGTTTATTACTAACGTAATGAGTGTTGTAGCTAAAAGTTTCAAATTCGATTTTGATTGAGAAGGAAATGAAAATTCCGGAAGAGTTTTTTACTAAAGTAGGACAGTTTTCCTCTGTTTCAAGATTTTGAATGGTTAACTAGCTAGTCAATTCATGATACTGACTACCTTTATTTATCTGATTATGTCATACACATTTAAAGATTCCTCAGTTTCTTGACCGGATTTCTATTTTAGTTAACTGAAGGTTACTCTGGCTCAGATATACGTCTAGTATGTAAAGAAGCAGCTATGCGTGTTGTTAGAAAAATATTTGACATATTAGAAAATTCTTCTATTGAAAGTAAGAGATATTTTTGATGAATTATTAGTGTAATTTTCTATTTCTTGGATCAATATTATAATCTGTAAAATTTCCACGACACCGTAAATAGAGGTTTATATTATGAAATGTCTCTGGATTTAAAGAAGATGTACACTAGGATTTTGGTCAGACACAGTTCTGATTGTATAAACAATCGTAAAACGTGTTTTCGATCACGAATACCTATCATGGAAATATTTTCTCTTTATCTTAAAGGTTTTCAGATATGCTGCTAAGATCATACACAGTGTCTTGAGGTAATAATTTCAAAGCTGCTCAACTACATTTAACTATCATGAACAGCTAAAGCATTCTATAATTTTACCAGTTCAACAGTATCTCTTTTAAGCAAAGATGGATAGTCGCTAGTAGTAGAATCCGGGACGCGCGCTTCGTCCTGTTTAGGACACGTCAGCTGACCGTACCTGGATCTCAGAGTTGATGTTCACTCCGGGACTCAAACCCAGTACATTTCGCTTCAAACGCCAACGCGTTACCCACTCGTCCTGGATTCCACTACTAGCCACTATTCATCTTTGCCTACCATGCTTGTGAATTTAGGCTATATCGAGGCAATACGCACAGTATGCACATATGCCAATAGGAGACTGACCAGTTGCAGTCCTAAAAACATCAATAGGAAGATTCAAACTAACAATACTAAATGTAACGCTTTTGTACTAAACTGTAAACTTTAATGTCTGATAGATGACAAGACTTCTTGGAACTCAGTTGTCCGATTTCACTGTTTTGCAGCTTTTTCACACATGAGACATTTGAAAAAGATATAACCATTTTTTCACAAAGTTCTTCACATTCACCGGATTGGGGTACTTAGCCTGTTGTATGCCCTGGTGATGTTCTCGTGACTTTCGAATTGCCTGATCTGTCAAGGGCGATGGGACAGTACATGATAGTATTGTTGTACGCTAGGTTCAAAGAGAAATGTATGCTATATGCATGCAAATCTACTGTTATTGTATATATTATTGTTCAATTATTCTCTCGCTGGAGATTGGTATGAATTTAAAAAAATAAAGAAGGCCGTATGCTAATTTGTTGTGGTCTTATGTACGACTTTTTTTCATGTGAGTTATCCATCAATCGAAACACGACTTGTCTAATCTTAACACTGTACCAAATCAATGACGTTCAACCAGTATGAGTAGTCTAGCGTCCTTATGGATCCCTTGTCCGCCCAGCCTTTCCAATTGAGTCCAGAACATCGATTGAAGCTTCTGCTATGCAAATCACTTACTTCAAGCATACTTGGTTTATATACCAGACAGACAGATTGAATCACACCATAAAATAGAAAATAATATTTTTACAGGATCAAGCCAAATGTGGCTTTGAACGTGGGATACAGTACTCAATAAACTGAGCATAATTTGGGAAGAGTAATTCGTATAATAGTAATTTATAGGTCAAAATGAAGCTTATAATAAGATGAATATAGATATATATAGTTATAGATATATAGTTAAACCATAAGAATATATATAGAATATTAGTCCATTAATAGGTCCCGGAAGTTACCTATACTTACATCTTCAATAGGATATACCAGAGATGATTAAAAGGGGGTATCCGTTAGTTTCCCTAAGTACATTTTATTATTTCTAATAATCAATCAACTACAATTAAACAGAATATAAAACAAGTCCACTGATTTGAACTGTATACTACTGCCTATTAAAATCCTATTTCAGTAATATCATTCATAATTTTCAAATCTACAACTTTCATGTTTTGTTTTTTGTTTTCAAATTATTTTGAATAGATTTACCTCAGACACAAATTCATTTTGATCCAATTACTACAGAAGATGTTAAAGCGGCTATATCATCTACAATGCCTTCAGCTAGACAATTAGCAGGAAAATATTTAGAATGGCAACAACAGTTTGGTTCTTCTTAAGTGCTAAAAATCTTAAACTAATCATCTTCAAAAATGTCATAATTTCCATCATGGTTCTCTTTTCTCTTTCATTGATCTAATTTCATAATTCACATACATGTTCACTTTCATTTAGGGTTATTTTAAAAACATACTGTACATTACAAACTACTTAAATAATTCAATATTCAATTGTATTCATGTATAGGATATGAAGATTACGTAATTGATTTAATTTACTTTTTTCATGTTGGTTAGTTGCTAGAATCTTCTTTCAAGATTATTATTATTCTTGGTATATGTATGAAAACATTGTGAGACATTGAAGACAACCAAAATTACAGAAATGTCTTCAGAAGGGGTTTTGTGGAGATTTAGTATTTTCATTAGTTGCAAGCGTGAGTCAATTAAAGCTAGGCCAAATTTTCTTTGATGGTCTAGCTTCAATTGACTCAGGCTTGCAACTATGAAAAGCAATATCATCGTTTAAATATGTGAACTATACATTGAATACCTCATTTACATATCTTCCATCAATTGTTCTTTTATATTCTATATGATTCTTTCAATTCACAATTCTTTTCTATTTCCTTTCCTGTTATCTTCAACATGATCTTCTTAGCCTTCTGCTGCCAAGCATTCCATTTTCGATTGATGTTACATACTACTTATAACTGTCAATATCAGTAGCATACACTACTAGAGAACTGAAGTTTTATGTGAATTTTATTCATATATGAATTAATTGTGTATACGAGAACAAATTTTTTTGAAAAATATGACATTTGTTAAAGTGGTGACTTCTCATAAATACTGAATTATACTATTATTATTATTAATGGCTTTATTCAATATTATAATCTGGTACAATATAGAATTCTCAGCACGAGTTATTTCAACAAGTTTTTTACCAAAAAAACCCACAAAAAAAACAACAACAAAAAAACAGAAATAAAATATAAAAAAGGTTTAGGAAAATCTGAGTTTATACAAATTATCGAATATGAGACATGCTTAAGAAGACAGGTTATTTACTAGGTCAACTCTAACAGCCTGTTCGTCACAAAGTAAATTTGCTAAGTAATGTATTACAGAACGTTTATAGATTTGCTTGCGTGCATGGATTTTAATGTATTTACGTCTCGTTCTACCAGAAGATATACAAGGAGAAAGATATGAATGAAGCGGATGTTTAGTATCTGATAAGATAACACCTGCCAAGAGTTTGCAAGATTTAAGATGTCTATCCACAAGCATATTAACAATGACTTCAAAAGATTCAACACATACCTTGCAAACTGCCTTCAGCACTCTACGCAAAATAGCTAGAGATACAGTTTTTAGCTATGATTGAGAAATAACTTCAACCTGCTATTCATTGCAATGGAATGTGACTATTTTGTCGACGTAAAGAAGACTGTTGAAGAAGACTGATCTATTCATCAACCATTATGAAATTCAGAATAATAATAATAATGAATTACATGTCATTTTCAGTTTTGAACAATCAATAAATTTGAATGAACTAAATCAATATTTAATCAATAATCTAACATGTACGTATACTTGTGTGTGTGTGTACAGTTTCGGTAAATCAATAAAATTATTTGATAAGACTATGAAATATGATTCATCATTGAATCTCATATTTGTTTTATTCTTGACAAAATAATAATTTGTCTTTAAAAATTAAAAGAATAAAATAAATTCTACTGTATCTGGACAAGATACATTTTTCCCTGTTGCTCAAAAAGAAAGAATTCTAGAATTATCAGTATGAAGTTGTGGAGCCGTGAACATCCACAACCCTGCTTATGGGATCATGGATCATGAATCTGCACTTTGGTAAAACCTTATACTTGGAAAAATTACCATCCAGTCCCGGTTGGTTTCTACCAGTTGTTTTACCAAAGTTAATCCACAATTAATGCTAAATACAAAATGTTTTATTTAAATCAGTTTTAATTCACAACTTTAATTTATATCTCTTTTAATAAAATAGATCAATGAGATATAGTTAATTAATGTTTGTAAAGGTCAATATAATTGTATACAGTGAATTGGGTTAAAATCATAAGAAACTTTGTATGTATCATTAGTGACTAGCTTCAAGAGATATTTCCTGGAGTTCTAGTGAGAAGCAGTGACCAGTGGAGTTCATTGGGTCTGTTGTGATTTAGTAACTGACTGAAAACAATGGTGGATATGTCTCTCAATTTCGTGGATTAGTTGAATTCAGACATTAACACCGTTGGATGTCGGCTCAGTGGTCTAGTGGCAAAGTGCTCGCGCTCGAGACCGACAGGTCCTGGGTTCGAATCTCGCGATGCGGGATCGTGGATATATCTTTCCATTTAAGATACAGATTTGAATAATAGATAAAATCAATGACTAGATTAGGGAAGGCTTACTATCTACAATATCAACAACTATTCATTTGATACTCCAATATTATCAGCAGTTATATCTAAAAAGTAAGTAACTCCAAAATATCATTTTGCAGCTTGTAGCACAGATTCATTTTGCTTAAACAGTCATTGAAAATCGAGAAATAATTGGACAGCAATTTTGTTCTAGCACGTGACTCCTCAGCAGTGTGTATATACGGACATACCTGAGATCAGGTTCAGGTCTTGCAGGAAGTGATGATCTTCAAGATCACTGAAACGTGATTCAGTAATTTGCGTTTCCAACTTCAATCAACCGATGATATTGTGTGACATCATTGGTCATAAACTACCTCACACTCAACGTGGTATTACATTTGTTATGATTTCTCACTATAGTGCATGAAATCGCCCCTCAGAATGAATCGCTAGTGAGCAAGCATCTATTTAGGGTTTCTTCAGATACTAAATACAGGTTATTTTAATCAGGTGAATTTTCGTCTATGTGACATACTTTTAAAATATTTACTTCCATGTCTAATTTTCCCAATGATTATTCTATCGTCATGCACATTTAAATTATCATTGAATGTTATGTGAGCTTGATATTCTATTCACTTGTACATCCATAAACAAGGATCGACAGTCAGACAACAATGGATATCATTATTTTAATCGATCCATGTAGACTACTTTGAGGTCAACTATTAAAAAATAATACAGTGAGAACTTTTTACAGTTGAATGCATGAGTCAAGTGAAGCTAGACCATCAAGGGAAACCTGGAAGCACTAAACGGCAATTTCGAACTACCGTCTGACTCCTTAGCAGTGCGTATCCATGATCCTGCTTCACGAAATCGGAACCCACGACCTATCAGCCTCGTACCAGAGCACTTAACCGATAGACCACTGAGCCTGTATCTGATGGTGTTTTTATCTAATTTCTACCAATCCACGAAGTTGAGCAACCGTTCACCATTGTCTTCAGTGAGTTCCTATCTCACAACAAATCTGGTTGAACTCTACTCGTTACTACTTCTCACTAGAACTCCAGGAAATACCTCATGGAGCCAGTCACAAGTGAGCATATGATGATTATTAGTGGGGGTTTTGTGGAGAATCTCGAATATCGCGAAGCGCGATCATGGATGTGCACTTCTGAGGAGTCCCACAATAATACGAAACGGCCGTCCAGTGCTTCTAGATTTTCCTTGGTGGTTTAGCTTCAATTGACTGATGATTTCAACTATATACAATTATTAAAAATCTCCACAAAACTCCATTCTAATAATTTCATATTTGTTTTAACTACACGAACGGAATGTTAATTTACCTTAGACGAATATCTGCACTAGATTCCATCCCAGTGTCATCTACTCTACATGACTTCAACACAACTTAGATTTTTTCAAAAATCATGATTAACCTAACTAGTACCTAAATAATATTTCTACACCAAATATCAATACAATCAAACATCAATAAACAATCAATGAATCAATCAAACTCATCAGACACCTGTTAAACTATAAACATATTTGACTAAACAAAACAACCAATTATAATCATTCTCTTTCCATATATCAATATTATTTATACATTAATTAACTTTTAATTCCATCATTATCATATTCACTTAGTAATTGACTGATTGTAATTTACTTGAACGAATATTCTTACATTGACTGATTAACTATTCGATAAGTTAAGTAATTAATTATTAGTAAGTGTAATTATTCAATCAAAATATAATTCATTTTAATCATGGTAACCAGGTTATAAATGATTAATTGTTGCCAATGATTTCTCAGAAGGAATATTTTTATTGTTGTTGTTGAAGGAAGTAAGTTTTATGATGATGTGAATTATTGTATACTAATTATTGTTATGATTAAATTCACATGGTATTATTTGTTTGAATCTTTTCATTGATGTTTAGGATTGCAACTGATCAGTCTCTAATTGGCTTATATACATATTGTGTGTATTGCCTCAATATAGCCTTAATTCACAAGCATTGTCTTAAACATCAATGGGATGATTCAAATAAACAATACTGAGTAAATTTAAACTTCATCCCATTGCACAACCAAGTGACTATCAGGACTCAGTAGCTGAGTGAATAACGTGATGGTGTTTGAAGCGAAAGGTACTGAGTTCGAGTCCCAGAGTGTACATCAACTCTGAGATGCAGGTACATCCAGCTGACGAGTTCCTGGATTCCACTCCTAACCACTATCCATCTTTGCTTACAATATTGTTATGATTGTTAATATTCTTGAATTAGATTGAATGCATAGTCTAGTTGTAATAATAATAATAATAGTAACAATAGTAGTACTAATACTAATACTACTATTACTACTACTACTTTTACTACTACTACTACTACTAATAATAATAATAATAATAGTAATAATAATAATAATCAATTTTACTGGAAGAGCATTTCTAGTAAGATTGTAATAAAATGTGATACAAGATCTGAATCAACACAGAGATTCTTGTTTATCATCAAGAATCAGCTGATGTATCTCTTTTGTATTTATCATTATACAACTGAGGATAGTTTTCACTTATGATGATTGAATTACTTCACGGAAATTGACAGAAAATTTAACAAATGGTATCAT